TTTGACATATAATAAGCAATTAAGTATATAAATGTTTTAAAGGTTACTGCCCAGTCTACAATGGAATGCCTGTAAAGGTCTGTGATGCTCCCAGTTCACAGTCTGTGCTAAGAATATGGTTACACTAGAAACAGCAAGAAGTTAAACAAACCATTGAAGAGAGAAGGATGAGGTTTTCAGTTCCATTCTCTGTGTCTCTCAAGATACTTCAACAGATCCTGGCAGTGGAAGAAGATCCAATAAAACTGCCATTGGGCTACTGTAGAGTTTGGATCCATCAGCAGTCCTTCCCCTCCCTGGAAAGCACAGAAGGAATTGGCTTCCTTTGGATATGAAGCAGAACTGCAGTGCACAGACAGGAGCTATTTTCAGAACACTGGGAGGTTGGTATAATCCAGGGAAACTGCTTTAACCAAGAGCTGTTCATTCCTTCTTCCCAGAGCAGAAAAGGTATATTTTCTACTGAAGCAACTAACAGTGGAGAGCAGCATCCCAGGTCCAAAACAAAGCAAAACAAGATGCTGTCCGAGCTGAACATTAACATTGTCTTTCCAGCTTCCTGGCATAAGTCATGTGCTCTCCAGGGGTTAAATTTGCTTGTGTAAAATCTGAACATGAGCAGAAAGATCACAAATTTATCAGGAATAAAAAAGCAGAAGAATACTACTATGCTAAAGTGTATAAAACTCAAATTACTACTGCTGTTAACATCCTCAGACCCAGGACTTGATCTCCAAACGGTATCAGTAAGAGGCAAAGCAAACCTGCTCTTCTGGAGTTTCTAGTTCATCCTTCATTTTACATCTTTCTCACATTGCCACGTCTCAAAAGCAAAACACAGCACCTTACTGGGACCCAGGGCTTCAAGGCTGTGCTGCACCCACCCCGCTAGCATTAGATTAATTAAAATGAGTTTGCAAGAGGAGTAAAACCTAAAGCCCTCTGTTTCTAGACCAAATAACTAAAGTAAAAGCTTTCCCATTGTCCTGTTTTCCTGGAAGAATCACAAGCTTTCTCAAAAACAAGAGAGAGGGGGAAAAACACAGACTATAGTTACATAAATCCCAACTTGGTCTGTGTTTAACAGTGGCAGGAGGAGGACGCTTTGAGCTCTGCTTCCCCTCCTCCCCACTCTCCCCAGGATCTCCTGAGGAGTGCGGGAAGGACAGTGATTAATTTTCTCAGATAGGAGATGAACATGTTCAACCAGAACCTGGACACCACCCTTGGAGCTCCTCACAGCACCTATTTGTTGCCTCCAGACATGGCTGAGGGCCTGGCTACCCATTCCTCACAGGTGAGATGACAGACAGTCCCAGCCACGTGAAAAGGGGAAAGTGGTCTGTGTGTGGTGGAGGACAGCCCTGTCTAAGGTGTCTATACCCTGTTACAAAGCATGAAGTGAGAGAGACCCAGCCGTCCCCCATTCGCTGTTGTTTCTTCCCAAAAACTGTTCTGCACGCGGAAGCAAAGCAGGAAACCAGAGCAGGGTTTAAGAGCTTTCTCTTTTCTTTCCTGAGCCCTAGGGCAGCCATACCAGGAGGAGACAGAAGATGGCACTCGAACAGCACCAGATGAACAACCATCACGCTTAACACCTCCAACAGGGGCGAGAGTTAGAATCACGGTAAATTAGAAAAACAAACAACAAAAAACCCACCCAAAAGCCCCCAAAACCCCCAAAAAACCCAAAACCAAACAAAAAACCCAACCCCCCCCCCAAAAAAAACCCAACCCAGGAAAAACCAAACAACCACTCAGCCATGGGATCAATGTTTTCACTATCAAAGCTTCAAGTTTGCCATCAATGTTAATGCTTTAAACTTTGGACTGTAAAGGCTAGACACGTTAAACAGTACCTGCCAGCTGTGCTGCAGTGCACGCTACAGCCTGGTACTGGAGTTAATGTTTCTCTTGGAAATAAAAAGCAATCTTGCACTTGATTCCATGGGAAAATGGCATATGGGTGTGACCACCCTCCAACTTGCTTTTGTCCAGTTGGTTACCACTAGTGAGGAAACCGCTCAGAACGGCCTGGCAGGTTCAGAGCTGGGGCTGGACACCCCAGGGGCTCATGGTAAACCTCCACCCAGGACATGTCTCGTGGTCCTACAGCAGCTGAACTGTGACCTCTCGTATGCGGCTTGCATAAAGAAAGGGAGCAGATCATGCTTCCAAGTGGTCTTCCACGTTTTGAGGGTTGACTTTAGCTCTCAGCTTTCTACATGTACCTGTTCTCCTGTTCAGTACTGGAGCTAGTATTGTACCTTCCTCAAAACCTTAACATCTCATACCAGTTTGTAAAGGGGACAGCTTTGTCAGGTAGAAGAGAGGGCTGAAGGAACTCAGGGAGGAAAAAAAAGACTAGACTATCAATATTACCTTTTAGCATTTACTTCCTTTTTTAAAAAAGAATTACAGGCTGATAGATTAGCCAGATTAATGGAAAAAACAAAGCAACACAAAGATCATTCCTTTAATTAATTTAGAAATAGATCAGATTACAATTTAGAGACAGGAAAGTGAAATGACTTTACTTTTCTGTATAGGCATGTTTTTTTCCAAATTTGAGAAGTCTTGTTACAGCTGCAACACTAAGAAGCTTCAGAGACCACAAAGGTCATCTAAACCAGATAAACCCAACACAAATGAACCAGAATTTAAAGAGCTTAATAAAAAAGCTCTCAGCTGCTCACTGACACAAGCTCTCTCCTCTTTCTTATTGCCAATGAATATGGTCATTCTGCATAAAGCCACATACCTGCATGATAAAGACGTGTTGTTTCCCTGAAAGCTATCTTCTGGCTGCAGCAGAGCACAAACAACGTGTTATCTCTGCAGCAGCAGGATTCAGCACCCCATTGTGTTAGGTCCTCTTTGAACGCAGGAAGACAAAGGCAACCCCCGGCCCCACACCACAAAGAAGTTACCTTTGGCCACATAATGGGATGTCTGAAGCAGGGGTTAAGGCTCCTCCAGTGAAGTGAGCAGCAGTTTTCCTCAGGCTTCAGCGTGCTGAGTGGTTAAAAGGAGCAAAGAAAGAATAAACATCTGCTCATTTCACCCCCACTATCTCTTTTGTAAGAGCTCTTCTGCCTCTGTAGAGATAGGCATCGCTGTCACCTGGAGACAACACTGCAACAAAAGAGGGAGCTGAGAGTGCTCACACTGGCTAATACAATCAAACTCCTTCCATGGACACACCAGCTTATCAGTAGTAGTTGCTTGCTCCAGTTGGAGACAGCATGCTTAGCTGCTCCCAAACAAGGAGCCTTTGCCTCCAGTATTTGTACCCTCCCTGTATGGGACAGGAACATTTTTTTTTATTTATTCTTTGTACAGCACTTGCCACCATTAGCCTCCCATCCACAACCCAGCTCTAAGTAGGAAAACAGGAATCGAGCAGGATCTGAACACTTCTGTGGGATCCAGACTGCTTTTAAAGGTGCACACTCCCAGACAGTATTGAAAGAGCTAATGTAAAGCCTCTTACCCTTAATAGGTAAACTGTCTTCCAAAATCTCTCTATGTTAGCCCACTGCTTACTACTTGGGGTCAGATTACCTGGCATGCTGGTAACTCAGTTGTAGAGGTGCTTGCCCATTGCCCCTCCAACACAGTACTCAGGAGGGCTTATTTTCAGACAGAGAATTTTGAAAACAGCTACATGCAACAGGTCCAGTGTTGTGCTCGAGCCTCTTAATTGTTTCCCAGAGCTGGGAGGCTGAGTAGCTGTGGAGAGATCCAGCCTGCATGCAGCAAGGCGAAGGCATAGGTAGTAAGCTGTACTGGGACCAGACTGTCTCCCCACAGTTCACATGTGTACACTGCCCTGCCTGCTAGTACTTCGTTCCAGCCCTCTGTTATGCGAGATGGTAGAGAGCTGGCTGTACCATATATGCACAATATTATCATTTACAAAAAAGGAGCTGACTTTTTCTTTCGTAGAAGTTGTTTGATTATAGGTTACGGAAGAGGTTGAGTAAGTAATTAGCATAACATAATTGGTACAAAAATCTGTTCACTTCCCAAATTGGATTTGAACCTACATTTTCCAAAGATAGTATCACTGCCAGATGGACATCGATAGCCAGAGGCAACCAGACACAGCTCTGCCTTAAGAAGTCCATGGCCTGGCATACCCTGGGCACGAGGCTTACAACATCACCACCACCACAGTCTATACGTTATTGCCAGTTCATCAGTCCAGAGTCACACAGACAAAGAGACAGGTCACGCTTAACAGAAACACAAAGTGGCTCCACATCACAGGAAGGGAAGATTGTGCTTTTTGATGATATGCCAGGATCACAAACCAAGGCCAGAGGCCACATTTATGTACAAACAACTGTCACTGGCATCTTTGTCAACTCTGAGGGTATTAAGATAATCTATAAAAAAATCAACCCTGTGTCATTGGGCCAGAGGAACTCTTTTTCTATTCTGGAAAACACAGCTTCCCAAAATACTTCTATTCAAAATTTCAGCTGACATATCCGTGTCCATGATGCAGCTGCCAGAACACACCAACACAGATTTGTTTATGATCTTGTAGCTGTCAGATAAAGGAATAAATACAACAGGTGCATCACCAGGTAATGGCAGCAATGGGGAAATGAAGCACAGATGTACATGGGAAAAATCAAGGGTTTAATGATAAATTAGGAGGTAAGAAAGATAATAAAGAATCAGTGAGTTCTGTTTGACATATTTAGGATCTTTCCCATGTCAGATTCTTAGTCTTCAGTTAGATGGTAGCTACCATGAAAGAAAAGCTATCATGCCAGCTTTAGGACTTATGTACCCACCAGTAACATTATTCTGAAAGCAATGTTTGGGGTCTCCTTCTGGCAACACTCAATAGCAAGTTTTTCTGATCAGCTACGGACTTATTTTCCCTCATTCAGAATACAAGTCTGTGGAGTACTCGACACAGTCCTTGGAAGTGCTGCATCACCATCCAGCCGTTCTATGGCAGTTTTCATGTCACACAACTGATTTTTGGTACAAGAATGGATCTACATTTCCACTTCAGCCTTCATCTTCAGTGCTGACTTGATTTCCAGTCCACTCACAGGACTGCTCACGCATCTGACACATTGATGCTTTAAGTTTCATTAAAAACAAAGTGACTCCATGTCCTGAAGTTGCTCACAAATTTAAAAATCCACTTTTAAAAAAAAGCAAGCTGCTTTGTCACTTAGGCTGTGATGCACAAATCCAGTTTACAGTTTTCTTTCACTTTAGAACTCCAGCCACTCTGTCATATAAACACAGTTTGATGGAGAAATCTCACCACCTTCATGGCAATCATCAAAAACCTGCAAAAGAAAGCCTTGTGTCAGTAATTATATACAGCAAGCACCATCTAACTGGAAGTAACACGCTCGCATGCTTTTTGCTCCTTTCCCGTAGAAAAGCAGTGATCTAACAGAGCCCAAAATCTCCAAATTCCAATGCCAGCTTTGAGGAAGACTAATGTAAGCACAACAAAGCAAAAACAGACACACTGGCAAGTTTTACCCACATTATCAGTTCACAATCCAAGCAGGACAGACCCTAAGCTAGACAGAAGTTATGTTAAAAAACATAAATAGGCAAACTTGAGATCACAAAATATAATAATATAATTTGGAACGGGCTACACTTACTAGCACCCTTTTACATACAGTACTGTAAAAAGATAACATATAAGTGAGAAACATCCTGGTCTAAAGAACCTGCCTCTTACACAACAGCTAAGGCATCACGGATAATTCTCATAAGCACAGTTGGCTTAGAAAGCCACGAGGATTGCTCACAGGCAGAACTTTGCAATGTGCCAGCTGGCCATTTACAGGAACATATTCCAAAATTTGCATGCACCCACCTGTTCATACAGAGAATTAGTTACTTACAGGGCAGAGTCCACAGGGTGTCCTGACTAATCCAGTGGGTTGTATGAGAGGACTAACAGCTCTGTACAACTTCATCTGTCCATCCACACTGCCTACCGTCCCTTCCTTTGCAGCAATAATAGTCATCTCCACTTTTCCATCATATATTAGCGTATTTAAAATGGTTTCAATGTCTTCCATTGACAACTCTACCTAAAAAACAATTTGTAAAATAAATATTAGGAAAGACACACACCAATAAGTCCTGCAGGGAGGAAATGAGCAAACACCACGAGTAACAAATCCTGAGTTATAACCTAGCCCACATAAAGGCACCACTCTTGCTGAGTGCTTTATGGGATTGTGCAGATACAAAAAGAAAAGCAAATACCAGTACCTCCTACCTCCCAAGAACTTTTGGATTACACCAGCCTGGGCTTACCAAAAAGAACTTCCCTATGCACTTCAAGTGCTTACCTCATCCTAGCACAATACATTTCCAATTTTACAGGAAAATGATTGTGAAAGAAGAAAAAGATAGACTACTGAAGATGGTGACCAATTGCAGGGTTTTCTTCCTCCCCTAAAACTGCTTGAAGTGCCTAGGCAAACTTGACAGAAATTATGAAATATAAACTGGTTGAGATTGTTAAAGGGAAACTTACTCCAGTTTCCATCAACACGGAGGTGAATGCTAATTCTTTTATATGTCTTTGAAAACCCACATGTGCAAACTATCCAGGGATCCCATGCAGCACCAACATCTCTCCTCAAAATCAGTAAGGCAGCGAAGTCAGCTTCCAACAGAGTAACGGTAAGGTACTAAAGCACTTATCGGACCCTTGCCAAATTTGCAGGACCCAACTCCAGCAGCTAGTCATGCACTGAGAATTTTGAGAGTAGTAAAATGAATCTATTCTGACCTTACTGATACCCAGTTCACAGATGTATTTCCACACCTCATGGGATGAGGCAAATGAGCTGTTCCTCTGTATCATGGGGTTCTGTTTGCTCTCTCGAGCTGCTTCTGCCTGAGAAAAAACAAAGATGAGTTATAATCAGTACTCAATGCCACGAGTCTCCTTTGTGGTTCAGTTTCAGGCAGACTGAATTATAAAAGCTGATTTCCAAATAATTTCTGGGACATGTTTTTTATTTAGCATTTAAAGCTATGTCCTTAAGACTGATGCATGTGAGACAATGCAGTGCACAACCAAACATAATTTTACACTAAATATGACACAGAATTTACACAGTGATTTAGATTAATATGAAGGAATATCAGCATCTGGTGTTTTTTTCACACAAAAGAAGTTTCTGCTGTACCTAGTGCCACTTAAAATACATTTTAATGGAACAGAGAAATGCTGCATTCTGCATAGGATTTATTTAACAGACAGCGGGCTTCTCCTGCAGTTATAACACAGAAAATTGTCTTCTAGGCAGAGCTGACTGACAAGTGCCTTCCACCCTCTCAGAAATTAGGAGCTCTGCAGGGAAAACAGTGACTTTTGCTAGATTTTTTGGTCCTGTGTTCTTTGCTGCCTTGCTTGTCGTTGGGCCTTGGAGACATAAGGCTTCACTCCCTGTACAGCATGTGAAAATATTAAAATGCAACACCATCACACTTGCTGTGACAAACCCAATCCAGTATAGATTTGCCAATCCAGTTGTAACAATGGCCAGTGCTTATGGAAAACACTGTGGGAAACTTAAGCCTTGCCTGTCACTGGTTTTATAAAGAAAATAATTACTTGTGCAAAACAAATGGAAGGTGACTTTAGTAGTGGCACGCACCTTACTCTGTAGAAATTTAAAACACTGTTGATTCAACACCTCCACAAATTCAGACTCAAAGTCTTGGTCACTGTACCAGGCCCCTCCAGTCACTGACCGGTCAGGCTGCAGGTTATATAGCATATATACCTTCTTCTTGGATGCCTGTTAAAAGAAAAATGCACAGCTCTTAACAGCTCAAAGTCTTCCATAAAAAAGGAAGATTTAAGAAGTTATCTTCAAAAAAGATAGTTCATTACTCCTAAAACCTAAGGCACAACAATCCAGCTGACTTGAGATCTCCTTAATATGTTTGAACCTCAGGTAATATGTAGATAAAGGGAAGATAAATACATTTGGATTCCTCACATTTTATAACATAGTGTTAGAAGAGAGAATCCTGGTAACAACATGCACGCAATACAAACCTCACTGGAGAAGATCTCTGAGTTTAATTTTAGCCTATTGACTCTAATCCCCCTCCACAGTCAAAGGAAGGCAGGAAGGAAAGTGTCTTTAGAAGACAGCTCAGACAAACTTAACAGAGAAGCTTTCAACTGTTTCTGCAGGATTCAACCCATGCACACTGATGACAGGAGGACCCTGACATGATTAAAACCTGCACCTAAAGTTAACCCTTGTGAGCCCACTCCTTGCTGCCACACCTAGATGGGGTGAATGCGAATGCTGCTTCAGCCCTGGTATTAGTAGCCACATAGAGGGGCAATGGTCATCCAAAGGACCACTCAGCAACCACTGAAGCAATTTTGGCAGCATCACGTCCCCTGTATGATTAGCTAAAGCCAGCATCTCTCACAAGAACATGAAAATGCTACTGCTTCTCTATGGCCAATTTATTTAATCTCCATTTTATTTTTATTTAGAAAGTTACTCTCACCTCTCAATCCCCCCCCAAAAAATGCACACGCCAAGCCAAGGTATTGCCTCCATGTTGCAGATGAGACTGGCACACAGAGAAATCATACATCGAATTTACAAGAGTTTACAAATAAGTGGTCTTCCTGGTGTACCAGGCCCTGCAACAAGACAGAATCTCCTCTGGAAACCAGGAGAATGTCCAAAGAACATGCTAATACCAATGAATAGTAATTAAGCAGGTACAGGAGAGCAGGATGCTGCATGAGCATTTTAACAGTGTGAGAAAAAACATGGAAAAGGATAAGCCCTGCTCTGGTACGTGGACAGTTTGCACATAAGAAAGTACTTGAGTAACTGGAACAAAGACTAAAACAGAATCTAATGTCTTAAATTGTTTAAAACTTAAAAATCTAGTATGAACCAGATAACTGAAAGGGAGTTTAAGGATCTCCATGGGAGAGGAACCTTGCAAGGCCACTTGCAGCTAGGTAACCATATCACTAGTCCCACATAAAAGGCTGAGATCACTTCAGTATCAGAAATAACAAACTGTGGTACAGCAAAACTGGGACCAATGGAGAAAAATTACAGGCAGGTTGCTTATTTGAGTGGACAAAGGAGAAAAGGGGGGTGGAAAAGGGAGTTTAGAAACAAAAAAAGGAGAATAAGGTATAAAACTCAGAGAACAAGAGAGGGCAGGATCTGCAGACAGCAGGAGTGTGGGTGTGTACAGACAGTAGAGAAGCTGGTCTGTGGACCCAAGCCCATTGGGATGCTGGAGAGAAACGAGCATCATGTCCTAAAGACCGAGTATGGAAGCGAAGAGAAAATGGTGACAGAACTGCAGATTAGTAGTAAGCAGTGCAAGAGGTTTGTGAAGGGTAACAGAACTATAACAATAGATGTGTGCAATAATTAAGAGAACCAGAACTGCAATTTGATAGTAATGGTGTGTAACTAGTAGTGGTGGGAAGAGTTATAGAACTGCATACTAATAGTGATGTGTTTATTAATTAGATTATTAATCAGTTTGTTAGTATTATGTTGATTATTTAATAAACATTATAGCCTTTCATATCTGTTGCATATTAAAGGCAGAGTCAAACACTGGTGCACAGTCAGTGAGAAAGTTGGAGGCAGAATGAGGTTTCTGTGCTCCCAGGCTCCTGTTCAAACATACACAGCATGCAGCAGACGTTTTAAATTGTTAAAAGAAGTTACAAAATACTCACTGCCACAGATTTAACTGCTTTAATTAGTTTCTTGCTTTCCAAGTTTTTCAGTATCTTGTTGATCTCTGTTAAAGGCAAATTACTTTTGTATCTAATGTCCCTGCTCCAAATACCTGTTTAAAATCAGAGAAGTAAACAGAAATTAATAGACAAAACCATTTGTTTCTGTACACACTCAGAAACCAAAAGTCACATCACAACATTGCTTGACTCGCTTGCCAACCATAGGATGTATCCTTGATCCTACCACACTGGCAAGAAGGAAGGGACAGAAAAGGACTGAACAGAAAAACAAAAAAACAAACAAAAAAAACCAATCCAACCCAAAACAACTGACAAACCCAAGAAATGCACATCACAGCCACCACGCTGACCTTCTGCCCTTTACCTCTCCACCAAAAGCTCTTACAAGTGGACCCCATTTCACTGCCAACATGAATACATCACAAATGTTCTTGCATTTTTAGGTAATTTGTGTTTGCTTCAACAATCATATGACAGCCAGTTCTACCTGCCATCTCTTAACCACAGTGTGCAATGACTGCTGAGAAAGCCTAGTTACTAGCGGTTTCTGCTGGCAGGACACCTGCTTGACAGCCCCATAGATAACTCATAATTCATACTCCAAACATTCTGAAAGAGCTCCCTGCCAAAAGTCAACCAGGACAGGTTATTATTTTAATAGAGAAATATGTCATCTTCTCTTTTGTTTTTAAAAAGTGGGCACATAGAATCATAGAATGTTGTGAGTTGGAAGGACCCACAAGGATCATTGAGTCCAACCCCTGTCCCTGCACAGGACAATCCCAAGATTCAGACCATGTGTCTGAGGGTGTTGTCCAAATGCTTCTTGAACACTGTCAGGCTTGGTGCCATGACCACCTCCCTGGGGAGTCTGTTCCAGTGCTCCACCACCCTCTGAGAGAAGAACCTTTTCTTAATGTCCAACCTAAACTTGCTCTGGCACATCATCCTTCCATTCCCCCTGGTCCTATCATTGGTCACCAGAGAGAACAGATCAGCACCTGCCCCTCCTCTTCCCCTTGTGAGGAAGTTACAGACCACGATGAGATCTCCTCTCAGTCTCTTCTTCTCCAGGCTGAACAAACCAAGTGCCTTCAGCCTTTCCTCATACAGCTTCCCCTCTAAACCCTTCCCCAGTGTTGTGTCCCTCCTCTGGACACTCTCCAGTAGCTTTAGATCCTTTTAACCCTGTGGTGCCCAAAACTGCACCCAGTACTGGAGGTGAGGCCGCCCCAGTGCCGAGCAGAGTGGGAACATTACCTACAGAGCTGGTATGGGGACTCTGGATTTTATATTTGTATTGTCTGGAGAAGCATTTAAAAGTTTGGACAGGAACAGTTCCATAAGTAAAGAGAGTTAACACCATTCAGAGTTATAATTTATTTAAGCTACCTTTGTTTCCTGCATCTTCTATAATTTGGTAAACCAGCTTCTCTTGATTGTCAGAGCCTTTCATTTTACTGTAAAAGAAGACAGACATCAGGATTTTTGAAAAGTCCAAAATTTGAAAGAGGTTGTATTTTTTTTAAACTGAAAATAAGTACTATGAAAAAAACAATGCACAAAGGGAAAAAAACAACCCTACACAAAGCCAGCCATTGGCAAATACAATACATGACACTAAACCTCTCTGGATCAAGCCAAGCTTGCCAGTGAGAAGATGCAGTAAAGAGAAAAGAGCACAGTATGAAAGAAAAGTGACTAAGGAGGAGTCACACAACTTGTCATAACAATGGGGAACTTGGAGTCACGTATCAACACAACTGTGGAAGGTCAAACACAGCATGGAGCATTATTTAGGATAATCTGTCTCTAGACAGAACATGGACAAAGGGAGAGTAGCGTGCTCCCAGCTCCAAAACATGCCTTTGCACTCGTCTGAGAAAGCCTGAACTCGGCAATCTTTTTCTAAAGCATCTGAAAGAGAGGATGACACGCCTGCACTGGGGATAATTTTGAAAGATATTTCTTTCCAGAAGTACGTCTAGGCACCTTTTCCTCAGATTTACACAAGCATCACAAGATGTGGTTCAAAGGTACATTTTAATAAATCAAAGAACATGAGCAGGAGTTCAAGCAGCCTCCTGGGACAGCTGGAAATAAGAGCACTGATCCAGAACCACAGTTTGCAGATGGTCAGGCTTCAGCTGGGTTTCACCTGAGCGTATACACATTTTTGCACAGATCACTTTGCTGCCTTCTGGACTAGGAACTCTGCTAGCAAGTTAGATCCATAGTCCCATGGGACCCTCTGTTCAGTGGAAACCACTGTACCTAAAACAGTTTTCAGGATCAGCTCAGGGGAGGTAAGTGCACCCTCCAGAAAAAAGCAGCTATGTTCTGTAACATTCAGGTTACAGAATCCATGTTACATCACTGAGTGTCTTCTCAGCAATGCTGCATTCAGGCTGCAGAACTGTGTTCCAAATATGTTTATCCAGCAAACACCAGGCTTACCTTGCATTCTGAGACTCTTTGATTCTATATAGGAGACCTGCATTGCTCCTGAGAAGGTCCAGCTGCCCCTAGGAGAGACAGGCACAATTCATTTACTTTCCTTCAAATAGCTTGTTTCACAACATGACAAGAATATTCTAATATTTAAATTAAAAAAAACTTATTTCATATCAACTGAATAAAGAAAATGGAAAAGTAACATTTCTAACCACGGGAAACAGTAATATCCATGAAGATATTTTTTTCCCCTACCAGGACAGTAATACCCTTAAGGATATTTTTCCCCTACAAGTATCCATTTATCACCAGCTACTCAGAAATAAATACAGATCCCATCCCTTCCCCCATCATCTGTGCACTTCCTATTATTTCTCCTAACTTTCACCATTGCACGAGGGACATCAAGTTCTTGTACACTCTGCTCTCCCTTTCCACTAAAACACTCACCTGCAGGGCTACCCAGAAATCACACTGGAGCTCTACTGCACAAGTTCTGAACAATTCTGAGTTCCAGTAGCAAAGTTCTATTTTTTACTAAGTAGAGACCACTGGAAAACCACCATCCAGATTGACAGTGCCTCTCAGAGGCAAATTGCCAGCATCTCTCTCACACAAAACATTTGTTCTGCCCTTGACACTTGTGCCTAGGCCAGGGAAATTTTTATTTCCTACTTTGAAGAGGCAAGCTATTAGACAAGCCCAAGAGCACAGTGGCATTAACTAACATTCACTCTGTCATTGCCAGCTAATCCATCCTTTCCCCATCATTGCAGCCTCGTTTCTTACAGGTTTGCATTATGCAGTGGATTGAAGCTCACACCTCAAGATGATCTCCTCCAGTGCTTTTCTACAGATGAAGTACTTGCAGCTCATCTCAAGTGAAGTAATTGACGGTTATTACAGCTGAGCTCTGGCTGCAGCTATTCCCCATGTCTGAAGTACTTGCTACATCTGCCCACACACACCCAGGCATCTATTTGAAACAAATTCTAGACTCGTCTATCTTTGAAGCCTCATTGGGAAATGAGGCCAACCCATTCAAACGTGATTGAACACACAAGCTCACATCCAATGTGCTGATAAACCTCATCTCTAGAACAGAGAGACCAAAAAGAGAGATTAGATTACTTCCAGTGCCACCTAGTATAAGCCAAGCTACGAAGTTTCAGTTATTAAATAAAAAAAAACCCAAAACACTGCCCCTTGCTCAGTTTGAATGGTTTCTAACACCCCTCTTTCTGAGAAAGCCCCTCTTTCCAACAGTGCTCTCTCCACTTCACCACTCAGTCTGTTTTATCTCCTGACTTCACAGGCCCACAAAGCAGCTAGCTAAGGAAACAAAAGGAATCTTGATCTTTAAAGACCTTGAACATTTAGCTGATCCTCAGGTTTATGCCACACTGAACCAACAAGACTCAACAGCTACTATCTGTTCCTGAACATGTGGCAGAAGTAGCTGACTGATCCTCGCTCCTGTCTTAGGCTGACTTCTGATACAGTGAAGGAAACCGCCCAGTGAGATGTGGGAAATTTATAAAAGATGCAAAAAATCCCTTGAGAAGCTTCACCTGCTTATTATCAGAGTAATCCACAGCCTTGTGGTTTTGTGAGGGGTTCAGAGAAGCCCTTCACATACGAGAGCAGGGGGATAACATCCATTCTTTTACTTCCAGCTAATATATCCCCCATCCCTAGTGGGCCTTGTGGTTATCACCTGTGGCTGTCTTACCACCTG